AATATTGAAATATCTTTTGAATTAGTTAAATGTCAGAATAAAGAGAGACAGAGCGGTCTATTTTTTATCACTTTGATCAAATTTAGGAGTACATATACATTAAGTTTATTGTTAATTAGTAAGAAACTCCAGACGATTCCATTCTGAGCTGAAGAAGCTTCTGATTGGTTAGTAGAGTCCATGTGAGTAAACTGGTGGCACAGCTGTGGATGCATATAAGGCAAAACACAGAGCCTGTTTTTTTGAAATGGGAAAATCAAGAGATGTCAACCAAAACACCAGGAAAAGAACTGTGGAGCTCCATAAGTGTGGCTCAGTTTGAATACAATTTGGTGCCATTTGCAATTAAGAAATACAGATAGTTTCTCTCTTTACTCTTAAAGTTAACAAATATGTTTTTTATATTTATCAATCTAAAAAAATAAACATTTAGTCCGATTTGATGTTACAATTAAAAAGTGTTTGTGTTTTGATCTGAACAGTACATAAATATGTGGTTTCAACTGTATATTTGATGATTGTCAGCACAAAGAGGGATAGAGAGGAACAGAGAGGGAGATGGAGAATGAGGACAGAACAGAGATGAACAAGAGCAGGTGAGACACACATGTTAGTCAAATGGTCATTTGCCAAAAGTATCACCGTATCATAGGTCCTCATGTATCTCGTACCTAGTGTTTCTTTTTAGGTTTGCTATTTTTCAAATTCTATATTTATTAAGTTATGCAGGCTTGTTCGCACAACAAGGATAAATAATTATATAAACTTTTCTCAATCTAAATATTGTACTTTGGTGGAATTAAAAAATAAGTGTAGTGCAGGTCTATGATGATTTTTAGTGCTACTATCATCTAGTTCTGATTCTGGTTCTGTCTTGGTTAAGTCCTCAGTAGTCCTGATTTTGAACTGTTGTAGTCCTGTTTTAATTCCGGATCAGTTCTGGGTCTGGTTGAATTGGGGTTTAGTCCCTGTGTCTTGATACAGCCCCGACTTTGTTCTGCCTTGCTGCTTAATTAAAAAACTAGTTTAAGATGTCCTGCACATGTGATATATATTTTTCCCTATATGAAGTCATTCTTTTTTGAACAAAACTCAAAACAGAGCCTATTAATCTTTCAGTCATTTCTACACCCCCCCCCCCCCCCCCCAAAAAAAAACAAAAAAACAAAAAACAAAAAAAAAACCACATGCATACTACCCTTTAGGGCTAAGCCCCGGGTGTTTCAAATGTCTGGCTCCGCCTCTGTAGACTACATCAACTCGTTTAGCTTTCCAGTTATAATATCCATAATTATCCATAATTATTATTCAAATAAACAGAGGCCCATACAAGCTTGTTAACCGTTCTTCCGTTTATTTAATGAACATACTGTTTCCCTTTTCTTCACAAAGGCTGCATTTTGCTTACCACATATGTCCTTAGTTAAATGCTGACACAATTGTGGCCCCCAAACACCCTCTATCACACTTTACATATGCTCTATAAATCGCTCTGTACAAACAGAAGGTTGTTCTGAAAATAGCAGGCCTCCCTGCTGTTTGTCCCAAGAGCTGTCCTGAAGGTAAGAGATATTGTACTATTGAGAGTTTTACTATGCCCATAAAAAATGCAGGTACTTTTCTCACATAGAAAAGGTGTTCAGTCATGAAAACTGCAGCTTTTTTTGTAAAAGTCATAAATTATACATGAATTTCTGTCTGTATTCGTCGCTCCCTCTGACGCACAGTGCGCACAGCGACAGTGCACCTCTCAGCGGTGGATCCGGTGACAGATGGAGGGCTGGCAGTAGAAAATGAAACCATTGCCAGGAGCCTGCTGAGTTCACACTGGACCTTCACAACCTATTAGTGTCAACGTCCCGGTGCACAGCAGAGGCCTGTGTTAGCACTTTAGAGAGTCGTGTCTGGAGTACAAAAACAACATGAAGTGAAGACTTTGGTTCCAAAAGCGAGATAAACTCTTCAAAGTTAAAGACAAACACAGAAAATGTGACAGGGAACATTCATAAAAACACCACCACAGCTAAAGTACAATTACTGATGTAGATTACAAAAGACATGGCTGTACATCAGTGATTGGGCTGAATCACTGAACAAAAAAAACAGCAGTGCCCCCTACAGACAGGGGAGGCATGGTAACATGGTAACAGAAATGATAACAGAAATACAAAACTAAGACTTAAGATACCAGTATAAACGGAGGGATCACAACTATAATAACCAAAATATAGGGACAGAATCCTAACCTCAGAATATAAAATATACAAGAATCAAAAGTCACAGACCAGGACCATGACATACAATTATTGTTGTCATCTATAAATTTTCCAATGCACTATTTTACCAACCAAATAAAAGCTGTAAAAAAATAGTGAAGCAGATTCTTATTTTTTTGATTAGAATTATAGTTATTTACTCATGTTTATTAAGAGAAACGTTAGTTTTAGTGGTTGATTCATTTCTGACTCCTCTCATATGTAAGCCCGCTGTGTTCGCTCAAATTTGGGTATAAACATAATTTTTTTTTCCCTTGCTGGATAAATAACAAAATAATATGTGTTTTAAACAGGTTTTCACTGTTCTTGTTTTATGACAAGTGGTCTAATGAATTTGTTAAGCATGGTAAAACAAAATAAATAATAACCTAAAATAAACACATATTAAAGTCTTAGTGGATTCTTTAACTGTTTAAAATGCTTAATAAATTATTCTAATGACATACCTGATGTGTCTTAAGAAAAATAAATGCAATTTTGGGGCTTCTGTTTTCCACATTGTAAAGAAAAGCTACTGTTATCAGTGCAGCTTATATAAAATCACATAGAAAGAACCAGCTGCTTATTGCCTTGATTTTATTCTATAATAAATGTTAAAGTTAACACAAGGTGTTGGAGATGTTTTTTTATAGATAAGATTAAGTTAGCAGTTCAGATGAAAATATAGTGAAAACTCCCGAATCTGTGCCTTCTTTTGTAACTTTCACATTTTGCAAAGCCATCCACATGACTGTACTGGACCCTGTAGCAGTTCTGGTCTCTGTTCAGTATGTTCAACATCTCAGGTTTAACAGAATCAACTTTTGGAGGAATACTTTCATTTTTCTCAAGGTGGACCTAAAAATCCTCTGCAGAGACATTACTCAAAGCAATATAAAAATGAAATACTTAAACAACTTTCTGACTGATAGCTTAAAAATTACCTCACCTGCATCGTTCAAGAACTTGCTTATGTTGGTGTCTGAAATAAGAAAAGAGCAGATAACAAAACATAAAACATGTAAAGGAAATACAACACCAATAACTTCTTAGTATAAATGAACTTTTTATTAAATTGTCAGATTTTTCTTTAAAGCAACATCAGATTTTTTCCTTTTTCTTTCACAAAATTCACAGGAAAAAAAATTAAGGCTGAACATAAGGTTTAACATTTCAAGTTATTATCTCAAAATTCAAACTTTTGAATACGTAGAAAATTTGAGACATTTAACTGTAAGTTTTGAGATAAAAATCTGAAATTACAACATATAGAAGGCAAAAAAGAAATGTTTTTTGCGTCCTGTTTCTTAAAAAGTCCAGTTTCTGGACATCACCTACCCATCATTTAAAATAAATCAGATACACATTAGGATGATTTCAAAAAGTGGTAAAGTTCAGATAAAAACCATCCTAATATGAGAACATTGTACACATACAACACAACCGTACCAAATAAATATTTCACACAGCATTGTTCCAGCACTTCATTGAAGCTACATCATGCTTCTGCGCAATGAAAAATGTGTTTCTTGGGCAAGAAACAAAAACAAATTCTTGATTGAAATTTAAGTTAAGGTGACACTTTAATCTAACTGATTATCATGTAATGAAGGAAAAGCATGTGTATAGAAAAAATTAAATAATGAGGACACTGTACATGCAGTTTATCACTGTGAGAGAAAAGTTTCAACTTAAAAATCACTCTTTGATTTAACAAGAGAGTGGATATCCCCAATGTGACCCACCTGCTATTCAAACCTTGCTAAGGGGAGATTTGCTAAAATGGGCGGTCTCCACCAAGGCACAGTTTAAGATAAATAAAGATTATTTTCAACTGTGAACGCTGCAAAGCTGCCCTCTTAAAATATGGAGGTTGGACAGTCCATAATGGGCCAATTTTAATGCAGCTCCTTTATTTTTTAACATCTCAGCTGCACTTAATGCGCCAACAAAACAGCATGTGTAAGCAAACATACAAATACAGTACAAACCAGGTTTTTGCACATACCGTATACTAAACAGCAGTGATGTTTGTAGGGTTGCTGAAGTTTGGCTAGCTATATAATGATGCGCTACGAGCGACGCAGCTATGTTAGCATAGCATAAACACAATGAAGCTGGAGGGTGAACGCTAACTTTTTTCCACTCGATAAAAGTTAATGTGAGGGTTCCTGATGCTGTCAATGGACCAAATTTCAGTCACGAGAACAGCTGACATAATACATCCACAACACGAAGTTAGTCATTATTATGCTGCAAAAACACGGGAATAGAGCAGCTGCAACAGAATTCAACATTAATGAATCAATGGTACGGAAGTGGGGGAAACAAGAAGAATGAGTTGAGTAAAGTTTGATCTGATTTTGTTTTGCCTAATGCGCCTTATATTCCGGTGCACCTTAGTATGAAAACAGACCCATTCATCAACAGTGTGCCTTATAATCCGGTGCACCTTATGGTCCGAAAAATACAGTAATACAAACAGTATATGCTGAAAGGCATGTGTTTAATTTTAACCTCCTTGACAAGCCAAAGAAGTCCCACCCGTATCCATGGATTATTGCAGGGGTGTCAAACTCCAGGCCTCAAGGGCTGGTGTCCTGCAGGTTTCAGATCTCACCCTGGGTCAACACACCTGAATCAAATGATTAGTTTATTACCAGGCCTCTGGAGAACTTCAAGACATGATGAGGAGGTAATTTAGCCAATTAAATCAGCTGTGTTGGATCAAGGACACATCTAAAACCTGCAGGACACCGGCCCTTGAGGCCTGGAGTCGAAGACCTGTGCATTAATGCAAATCCTACGTTTGGTTTTATAACACATATTGACTTGTTGTGATTAACAGTCAGTCTGCCGTTAAGGCAATTTCTGGCTTAAGATGATTTCCTGGCACTATGTCTTTGGATATTTGTTGACCACAGTAGGTGAAAAAGCATCAACCATATGACCAGACTTGGCCCATAATTCTACTGCTGACAGTGCAAAAGAAAGGTGTGATGTTTTTTTCACTGGTTTCAGCATTTCAAACAAAATAAACAGAATAAATACAGAAAATAATAGAAAACAAAAAGCTTTTTCAGAAACCTGTCCAGATATAAAAATCCACTACAACAGATTAAAAAAAAAAAAACATGCAAAAAAAACCCCTTAAATATGATCTCAAATTTGAGAAGTTAAAAAGAAAGAGGGAAGATTAGACAATACACTCAGCCAACTCCTCCAGCCTTGTTCCCCCAGCCTCCCAAGTGTGGCAGAGGGACGTTAACGGCAGATGGTGCTGTTGGGTGCCTCTTCCGCTCTAAAGGATCTGTGGCGCAGATGTGCATGGTGTTGTTGTCACCAAGTTGTAATCCAACTACGTTGCAGAAGTGCATGTTGATTCTAGGTGTGGCAGGATAGCAGAAATTACCAGGGCTGGAGGACTGACGCTGCAGAGAAAAGAAGAAGAATATTTGTTTAAAGCGGTTCAGAATAAAAGAAAATCATGTTAGTTTGAGCCGCTGTAAGATTGAACAAAAATGTTTACATTCATTTTCCAGCACTTAAAATTCAGTCTTTTTTTGTCTTTGCTAAGAACTATTTTGGAAACATTTCATTTGGTTTTCTTAGCTTCAGACAGCTCTTTTTGTTTTTCAGTTTTTCTACTTTTGGACCTCTATGATGTCACTGAGAGCCGATGTCCCTAATACAGTAACCCCACTGAACCCTCAAAGCACTTTCTTACTACAAACCTGATTCAGTCATTTACACACACGCACTTTTTTCCTACGTTCTAAGTGTTTTTAACCTAATATTCATACATTCATTGTTCAGTGGATACATCGGGGGTCAGTATTTTGCTCAAACATACTTCTACATGCAACCAACAGAAGCCTGAGATCAAAACACCAACCGTCCGATTGGTAGACGACCTGCTCTACCTCCTGAGCCACAGACACCGCTGTGAACTGTAAATGATACAAAGTTAAAGTAAAAATTTGAACATGAAGCTGGAATGGAGCGTACCATGTTTCATCTCGTGGCTAAAAATTGTGTATCATGCAGTAAACCTTTTAATCTTTTTTTTTAATCAAAACATTTCTTAGCACAAGAATTGATGACTGAAGCTCAAATCTAACTGAAGATTTTGGCCCTCTGTGGACAAAAGTAATGGGACACCTTCACATACCACCTACAGGACCTGCTCAGACATGGAAACACATGCTATGAAGCTCCTGTTGTATATGTTCGTGCTGATATTAGTGCCAGATGATGTTTGGAGCTCTGTAGTTACTGAGTCAGCAGAGCTTTGGAGAAGTTTGCTCTTTTCGGGTTTTTAACTACTGCCTACATATATTTTTACTAGAATTGCTTTTATTTTGACACATTTTAACATTTATGAGGCACAACATGCAAGAAACATTTGGGTTATGTAGCTGCATGCTAAACAAGCAGATCTTCATAAAATAGTTATGGAAAGTGGACCAGTTCTCATATATTGTTTTTCTACTGTACTGAAGGACCCAAAGCGCTTTATACAACATGCCTCATTCACAGCCATCCATACAACCGCTTTTTTCCTTACTATCTAACATTCACACACATTCATTAAATCACATATTATACATGCATTTGGCCATCTGAGATTCCAGACTGGGTGTACCATATAGGAAAAAAGGGTAGACATGAACATAACCCTTGCCAGGTCATTGGTGACCAGTGCTGGTCAAGTTACTTGAAAATAGTAATTAGTTACTAATTACAGATTAATTCTCCAAGAAAGTCATCCAGTTACTTTACAAATTACTTAGTTTCTGCAAGTAATTAGTAACTTCATTACTTTTTAAAAACATGATACAAAACTTGAATATGTAACAAAGCAATGGTCCTTTCAGTCCAATTCTTTTTTTCTGCATAATCCATCATATACAATTGAATTTTTAGTAACGCACTAACACAGCGTGCTTATGGGAAAGTAACAGTAACTCAATTACTTTTTTTGCAATAATAATCCCTTTACTTGTTACTTGAAAAAAGTAATTGGATTACAGTAACATACTTCTTTTAACATGTTACTGCCCGTCTCTGCTGGTGAACTGGTAAGTTTTGAATTAGGTTAACTTATGAAGTTAATTAGTATATTCAAGCTCTTTTAATTGAAAAACATTAGACCTGCTCATTGTGGAAAAAGTCTTTAAGTCGGTGAAAAACAACGAACACACACACCTGGTACTGAGAGAAATGGTTTTGCTTAAAAGGTGGGCAAATGTTTTTCGATGATCTATTTTGCGGCTTCCTCGATGGAGCTGACGGGGGCTGCGACTGAATGGGCTGAACAGAGGATGGTTTCATTTTATAGCCTGCTGAGTGGGGTTGGTCCACCTGAGACACATTGGCAGTTCGATGTGAAGGTGATTCTGGAAGGCAACACATTTATCTTCAGACATGAAGCCACAACAGGCACTTTATTTGACTACAACAAACGGTTCCCCCTTCAGTCAACCGTTTCTGTTCTGCTTCAGCAACAACTTCCTTCTTACCTTTGACTCTAGTGTTGTCTCTTTGATTTGCAGGCCAACTGCCAGCCACTTCCTGTAAGAAAAGGAAATAAAAGAATTGCTCTGTTGCAAGTTACAGCAAAGATGAAGAATGTGGAATAAAGTGAGGATAAACAATCTTTACCGGCCTCATTTTCTCACAGTTCTTACAGGGTCTCAATGGGATCCGAGTGTAGTGAAAATTATTTAGATGCTTCCTGTGGCTTTGGTGTAGTGACAGTGTGTAAAACTGTGACGACAGTGGCTGATGAGCTTTACCGCAGTGTAACTTCCCTTGGATTAGGGCTCAAGATAAGTAACACTGATACTAATAATGGTACTAAAAACACACATGCTTTCCACTAAAAGTCTCTCACGATTGTCGTTCTTTCACAAGATATGCTAAAAATGTACAAACAAGATTAACGTATTTCTTTTATGAGTAAATCTATAAAATCCACATCTTGGAAAGCATCTACACTTACTGTAATGTTTTAAACTTTAGTTTTTTCTTGTTTTTTTTAAGTGAAACAATATAATTAAATGTGTGGTAGACAGATCTACATCTACGCCCCTCTCATTACACAACTATGATTACATGTATGTGATTCATAGTCAGCGTTACATTTTGGCTTAACGTAAGAGTCCATTTCCATCCCCCCCATATGAAAGTCCTCTACTTAGATGATTGCACCACTTGGTCTTACTTCCTATATGGACTATTTTCTATTATGAAATTTAAACCACAATGTATTGCAGAAGTCTAGTTACCATTCAGACCACTTGAATTACAATATGTTGAAGGGGTATTTTTGATTTTTTTTTTTTGTTCAGTGATGGCCCAATGTGAACCTTAATGTAAAAAACCACTAGACCAGCAGTTCTAGATATTAATCATTAGTTAGTCCTTCAAGAAAAGTATGCTTTATGATTCTAATAAAAATGTAACCTGAAGTGAAAGTCTATCAGTCTGTTATGGGGAGGGGAGCAACCATAGTCACTAAGGGATTTTTCCAGGTTGATGGCTTCTTAAACCAGGGGGTGTGGGAACTCCAGGCCTCAAGGGCCGCTGTCTGGCAGGTTTTAGATGTGTCCTTGATCCATCACAGCTGATTTAAATGGCTAAATTACCTCCTCGACATGTCTTGAAGTTCTCCAGAGGCCTGGTAATGAACTAATAATTTGATTCAGGTGTGTTGACCCTGGGTGAGATCTAAAACCTGCAGGACACCGGCCCTCAAGGCCTGGAGTTCGACACCCCTGTTGTAAGGAAAAAACCCTAAAATAATCCAAAGAAAAACCCAGCCATCAGACAACTCCTTACAACCAAGCACATGGTGACAGTGGAAAGGAAAAACTCCCTTTTAACAGGAAGAAACCTCGGGCAGAACCAGGTGCATGGACCATGCGGCCATCTGCTGCGACCGGTTGTGGGTGAAGGGAGGAAGACAGGACAGAACACACATGTCCTTAATTTTAAAATTAAATATAGTGGACAACAGTATCGGTCTTCACCTCTTAATCTTTGAATTCAGGTGCTTTCAGTCTCATGTGCGCAGGTATATAAAGTCCTGCCTCTGGCCATAAAGTCTGCCTTTACAAACATATGTGAAAGAGTGGATCATTCTGAAGACCTCACTGAATTACAGTGTGGTGCTGTTAACAGGACGCCATCGTTGCAACAAGTCAGGTTATGAAGTTTCTTGCCTCCCAGTTAGTCAACAATCCCCTGTGTTTAAGAACCAGAGTACCTCAGACCACGTAGCGTTACAGAGCGGGGTCACTGAGTCTAAAAGTTGCAAACCTCCTCTGGCATTACCGTCAGCACAAAACCTGTGCACAAGGAGCCCCATGCATGGGTTTCCATGACTTGTACATGTAATGCTTAGGTTGTCGTGCTTATTTTACATTTGCTGTGTTCAGGATTCCTCTTTGAAAATTCCCCTAGTGCAGTAGGAAGTGATGCACACAGTATTTCCCCGTGACTGAAGAAGCGCAGTGTTGAAACAATACTGTATTGGCCAATTCATGACAAAAGGGAAAGAAATGGCATAGAGCACATTTTGAGTATTTGAATGTTGTTTTTTGCCACTCAGCTCATTCTGACTACAACACTGATGGTTGGTTTATAATTTCAAACCTACATGGTGTTTGGAGCTAATCCTTTCTGACAACTATATATAATTTGTCAGCGTTGAACTCAAGCAAACGTGGCTCTCTCTGCTCACCTGAATGGGCGGGCGCCCTGTAGGGACATCTTCACAAATGTTTGCAGGTTTCACTATGGTGCTCACTGCAAAAAATATACTGCTATTGTTATTATTGTTATTATATAGATAAAACAAGCTTTTATTGTAGTTTTCTTTTGTAGTTCTGTAGCATCAGTTCATTTTCTAGCCGGAAAGACAAATAGAGTTCACACTGCTACATGTTGATGACAATTAGAAGAACATGAAAGCTGTAGTGAAGTTTGGTTTTGACAAATCTGTTGGTTTTTTGTTTTGTTTTTTTGCTCTGTTTCACACAGAAACTTACGGAGCCCCGCAGGGGACATGGAAGAAAAAAAATTAAGACGGACTTTTGCAAGATCTCGCAAATGTTTTGCAAGATCCCGACTTAGTTTTGCAAGATCTCGCAAAACTAAGTCGGGATCTCGCAAAAGTTTTGCAAGATCTCGCAAAATAAACTCGGGATCTCGCAAAATTTGCGAGCTCTCGCAAAAGTTTTAGCCGCCAGCTCGAAGCCGACCGGGAGGTCGAGGCACGATGTGCCGGGAAAGCGGTGTTCCTCCCAGCTGTAGTACGTCTCGACCTCCCGTTAGCTTCGAGATGGTGGGTGTCAGATCTCCGAAAATATGTGATGTCTTGTAAACCAAGCAGATATCTGACGTTTACACAACTACATTCACGCCTCAAAACATCTTAAAAGTTTATTTTGTGACCCAGAAAGAATAATATTACAACTAAGTAGCTGCCGCCATTGTTGGAATTCAACTTTTGCGAGATCTCGCAAAGGTTTTGCGAGATCCCGAGTTTGTTTTGCAAGATCTCGCAAAACTTTTGCGAGATCCCGAGTTAGTTTTGCGAGATCTCGCAAAAGTCCGTCTTAATTTTTTTTCTCCCATGTCCCCTGTGGGGCTCCGTAGAAACTTTAAGTGGAAGCTTTAGAAAAAATCATGTTTTAGACACTAAGTGAGAAATTAGCTTATCTTTGCATTGACTTGAGTCTCTAATCTGACATAGCAACAGACAAGAAAAAATGTAATGAGTGCATTTTCAAATATTGTAGACTTTTTCTTTAATGCACTCAATCAAAAATATGCTTATTGGCTTCAGATATTGGTATAAATATCTGAACCAGGGCGTATTGCTCTTCTTGCTGTGACACCTATTAAATAACCAAGTTGTAATGTATTCACAAGTACGCTTTAAATGTGTGGTGTTAAACATGGTGCGAAACATACAAAACAATATCACAGAATCTAATATACGCTGATTATGGTAAAACAGACCTGCAGACTGAGCAATAGAAAACCTCTCAAACTGCTCAGTCATTTCCTCTGTTTCCGTTTGGTCCTGGAAAGAGGAAAAGAAACAAAAAATCAGTCCGTGACGTAAATTAACCTCCTAAGACCCGAACTCTTCCACGGCATGCATTTTTAATTTCTCTTTGATATTTGGGCATATTGGGGCCCAATGAATGTAAAAACAAAGAATTACCAGATTTTTTTTTAACCTTATTTTTGTTTTTATGAAAAATCAGAGCCACATATGAGGATATTTGTTTAAAATGTTGATAGAACAGTAGCAGTATAACGTCCTCGTCAGTGGATATCAGGCCCTTCTAGAGCAAAATTGAGTATTTTGGTCTAAATAACCCAAAATGTGATGTCCACATATGTGGACGCCAGGTCCTAGGAGGTTAAGAAAAAACAAAAAAATATGCTGCGTCATGTCAAAGTTTCACATAGTAACAAAATTACTTATGTCTATGAAAACAAGAGGTTTGTCCCTCACCAGTTTCTTCAGCACTCCATGAACGGCGTCAATAATTGCACGTTTGTGCATCTTATACAGCTCTTCTGTCACAATTGTGCACACTGCAGAGGGTGTGAAGACAAAACATTAGGGCCAGCCAAGCTGCTCTGGTTTTCTTTAGAGTTTAGATAACCTGGTTTGAAATATTTCTTCAGCAATTAAAAATGTGAAATATAAAGTAAATACTGTCCTTAACAAATTTATTAGTCCACCCGTTTAAAACTAAAAGTTATGCTGTTATTTATTAGCCAAATAATGAACTGAATTCACAAATTTATAATCAAATTTACCCAAATTTGAGCTTCTTAAGGAAGCTGGGTTTTGTGTGCATGTAAAGCACTTTGGTTTAAAATGTGTTATAGAAATAAAATCTCCATTTCTTTGCTTAGTCCTGTTCTAATCAATAACAAGAGTCTCCAGCTATGCTAGATGCTTTAAGAATAATGCTAATGTTCAACCTCTGTGGTTCAAAAACTACTTTACTGCATTAAGTATAAAATAGCATAAAAACAGATAATACACATAAGAAATTTAAAAAGCAATAAAAAGGGTGAACAGAAAGACCGCATGACATAAAAGGAAGTTTATAAAACTGTTTCACTGATTCTGCAAGCCTCATCTCCTCAGGCACATCATTAAAAATCTGAGGGACCATGATGACAAAAGGACCTTCAGATTTAAGCCTTTGCAGAGTCAGTAGAGACCCACCTCAGGCTCTAAGACAACCATCCCACCCAGTTTTCTTACCATGAGAAGTGGGTCTTTGAGCAGGTTTAGCCTCCCAGCATTTCTGCATGAGCTCCATTAGTCTTGCTAACCCGGCACGCCCTGCAGCCAAACAACGGATCTCGTCCAGCGATGGACGGTCTCCCTGCGGGATGCGGAGACGAACTATGCTGGACAATGCATCTGCATCAGAGGGATGTGTGCGTCAGGAGAGCATCAACATTTTACGTTTCTGCACTGATGATTATTTTGAAGTGATGTGTTTAAATTTTCTCTAACAAATAGCTTCATATGAACAAAGGACTAAAAGTAAAGTGTTTTTTGGTTTGCTAAATTTACCTTACTATTATGGGACACTCTCTGCCCTCTTCCAGGGTAGCATAACACTTATGCTATAACATAAGTATTAGCACTTAAGCTTATTGAGTGGCAAAAAGCATGACTTCACTTCAGTTTTGGAGACATGTGATTGCTAACCATGTACTGTTAACAGTGAGCCACTTAGAGGTGTGAGATTAAGGTGACATTTGGTGACGAAAACACCAAATGAGATGCTGCACTCTATGTGAGAGAGGGTATCTTGGAGGACCACGACTGCCAATGCCATCCTACAAATCACTTAAGAAGAAGAATATTGCTGCATAGTTTGAATGGAAGCGACAGATTTATCTACAAACACTGTCCCGCTGCTCTCAGAGCTGTAACTGAAGTGCGACACAAAGCGAGATTGGAGAAGGTTTGCTTACAAAGTAAAAGCTGCATGTTTTAGACTATGATGATCTGGATGACTGAGAACCTGCACAGACATACTTGTTATGATGTTGTGATACAGAGCTGAGACACAAGTTTTACTAAAAATTCCTGAACAAAAAATTTAACATGAAAAACTAAAGGAAATTATTGCAATCTGCCAGCAATCAAGGCAATCACAGCTGAACTTTCTTTGCAACTGATTTCACTCACTAACAGAGACATTCAGGATCCACCAATTTTGCGAAATACACATTTTTCCCTAGCAACCAGTGGTTCTATGATGGCCAACTGGGCTTCACTTTTTAGACTGGGAGTAACTGCCATCTGTTATGCTACGTTCACACTGCAAGTCTTAATGCTCAATTCCTATTTTTTGATCAAATCCGATTTTTTTTGTCTGTTTGATGATGATGACCATTCAAACAGCAGTCGCTTTCTAAAACATCAGATATGTATCGGATTCAGTACCACATACGAAAGTGACCCAGGTCGGATTTGAAAATATCAGATTTGTTCTGTTCAAACTGTCATACCATGATCGGATATGTGTCGCATAGGGTCAAAAAAGTCGATTTGATGCGCTTTCGCCTGCATTGTGAACGTAGCCTAAGACTCTATGCTGATCACAGACCGTCAAACTTTCTGTTTGACTGTTGGTTCATTGTCTAAAAACAGTCAGTGGAGTCTTTAGTTTAGTTATTCTATCTTCTGGTTACACATGGTGAATTTCCACTATGTGGCTTCAGTTTGCTGCCAGTTAGAATCAAAAACACTGGCTATAAAGGGGGCTCTGTCAATATGCATTCAATCATGTGAAGCTCAGAGTCAAATAAGGATAGAAGCTGTTTTTGAGCCAAGGAGGGGGAAGATTATGGAAGCTACCTACGTGGATATGGTTCTTTTCCTGTGACAATGGACCACAACAGTATACCATAGCTGAAAGAGAGATGGAGAAAATCAAACACAGCAATTATAATAATGTATATCTGCAGTCATTGTCGAGTTTGGCTATCAGTTTGTCAGTCTGCTCCATGACATCAGTAACAACAACACGACCAGATTACAGAGGGAGGAGTTAAGCAACTGGCTGCAGTTCGTCAAATGAGGAAGTCACATGATTACAATTACGATACATTATTCCTCAGCCAAGTTCCCTGGAACCTGTTAACCTCGTGTGTTACCACTCGTATTTTTATTTACCCACCAGCAATGAGCCTGTGGTTAATGGCTGTGGATTAGAATGCAAAGTTCACCATCTAATGTTTTAAGATGAGTGTGAAGGTGAAATTTGGCATTGGTACTAATTCCTAAATATCAAAGGAAAAATTGACTCTTTTACCTGTAGATATCAGATGCCCGAGTTGGGTTGTATGAGATGCTAAATGCCTCTGGGGGCATGTAGCTGATAGTTCCCCCTTCTTCTTCGTCGCTGTACTTCTTAGATTTCCGTGTGACACTTTGGGAAAACTTGGCAAGGCCGAAATCTGTAAGCTAGACGGAAACAGAGGGAAGGAGAAGACAATCAGGCAGTTTGTTTGGACAAAAATACTGTATTTTACACAAACCTACAGTGCATTGTATTAAAAATATTACTGCTTTATTAAAGACACCTTAAAAGAAACTGCTCAAACTGTTATCTATCTCATTTTACTGCAATCTTTCCGGTCTTTGATGTTATCCATGAAAACAGTCATGGATAATTATTTAAAATTACATTCATGACTTGTGGAGTATGTAAGTTGCACTTGAGTAACCCCTGAAATGACAAAGCAAAAAATCCATGTGAAATGCTGAAGTAAAACTACTTTGTAAAAACCCCCCAAAATTAATTATATTGGCCAACTTTCTGAAAATCTTACATTTTAATTTTATAAACACATCACAGAACAAATGTTTTTAAATGTCTTTAGATGTATTAAGAGTTTTAGAGGATATTATTAATTAGAAAAAATAATAGTAGTAATAAAATCATATGTAAGCTAATTTTAAACCATTTTTATTCACCAAAAACCTTTTAATAACCCAATTATTACAGGTGTGCTTCATAATAAAGTAGTCAAGTGGTCTCAATATTAAGCTAACAATAGTAAGAAATGGATTTAAAACCCTTTATTCAAATCAATCTAATATCTGCTAACATATTAAAAAATAAACCCATCTATTCACCAAAATCATCAAAATTTAGCTTCGTTGAGAAAGTTGGACCTATTGCCGCTGTCACAGGGTAAGAGGTAGTCTAGACTCTGGCTATCATTATTGTATTTGTAGAGTCACCAATAAAACACTCAAACATGTAATAAACGTGTCCATTTCATGCTTTGTCTCTTCAAAGCTTGAAAAGGACCTAAATTTAATCATCAACAGATGAACACAAGGTCAACTTGGTTGGTACCAAAGGAGATTTATCAAATAAAGAATTGTTGGCTAACGGCTTGTGATTGACAAGTATTCAGTTGTCTGGGTGGATGCTCTCCATCGCGAACAATCCTGCCAACATCTTTACTCAAGATACTTTGGAAGTCCTGTTTCTCATAACGTCTCTGATTCAGTCACAGTAAATACAGTTGGATGAGGTTTGGGACTCTTCCAAGAGGAAACTCCACCAGTTTTACGCATTAAAGTCTGTTTACAGTTGTGCAAAGCCTTTTGTGGTAAACACCATGATGTCATTGTGGTTAGGCTAAAGAGTGGGGCTCAAAGTCAGATGGAAAGCATTAGAGAAAATACAATTTTCTTTAAGCAAATAGTATTATTAAATTTCTTTATGACTGGGCCAAGTGTCCCCTTTTTTGGAAATCAAAATATGGTCACCCTAATATAAGACCTCTGCTGGTGATTCAAAGGTTTGAGTTTTCAATGTGAAGAAGAAAACGCAGCTGTTTGTATTTTTCCTTCCAAAATTTATAGAAAATAATTACTTCTAAATCAGCAGAGCACCATTTTAAAGTCTAAACAATCACCTTGGCATTCAGAAAGGAGTCCAGCAGCACGTTGCTCGGCTTTAGGTCCAGGTGCAGCAGAGCAGGAGAGAGATTGTGGAGGAAGTTTATACCTAGGGCCACCTGGTGGGTCAGTCTGAAGGCCAGTGGCCAGGGCGGGGGTCCTTGTAAAGTTCTCTGTTAGAGTAAGGGCAGATCATTTTGGCTTTACACTTTGACAATCTCTTGTCTTACATTTTTCTCATCTAGCTCAGTATAATCTCCTACTCATACATAATTTCTCAATTTAAACCCAGGTATTTGTAACTGGACTCTTCCAGTTCAGCTGCTTTGTTGTTTAAAGATGTTACAAATGAAAACCGGCCTAACCTTTAATCCTTATAACAATTTCAAGAAAGAGAACAATCAATATTAGTCTAGAGCCACCCTAAAGGCTCTTTGAGGTTGAGCTTAAAGACACAATGTCTATATGATTGCAACTGACATGATAATTTAGCATGTTAGCATCAGCTAAGGTAAAGCTAATTATTTTGTAACCAGACATACTGATAAAGTCTGAACTACTGACCGTAAACTGAGTCACAAATATGTGTGGATTTCCCTAAAGGTGAATCCCAATAGACTTCCATGTTATAATGCTCTACTTTTAAGACTTGAAGTTACAGTATGCATAATTAGCGAGTGCTAGGGTTAGCTACAAAGTCCCCTTGTCTACTATCCTGTCCATATGGATAAAAGACAGTAATGGACTTTTTGTAATGAAATAACCCACACTGCCATAATCATTATTGGGAGTTGTATTGTTCAGCTGAACCTAAACAATATCAAACCAAGATTTATTTACTATTAGCTAACATTGATTTCTTCTTATGAGTGGTTCCTAGCTTTAAGCACATGACTTGTTACCATGATGGCAATGATTCTTGTACACTGAAAAAAACAATTTATATCTAAGCTCAACCAAACAAGCCCTTAACTTAAAACATGACATTTCCCTGACCCAAGTAGAGGTAGTTTACATGTTGAAAAAAACAGTACAGCATTTTAGAAGGGCTCGTTTAGGAAATTTTTGGCCAATCTATCCAATAAATTTTGAGACACTATAGTTCGTCAAGCCTTTTGGCCTTCATCTAAGTGGATCAGGTATGTTGTTTACCTGCAGGTTGGCAAGTGATCCTCTCTCCATGAACTCCATGACCAGCCCAAGCTTTACTGGTCCAAAAGAGGGACTATGACCTTTAAAGACCCCAAGGACTGGAATGACGTATGGGCTGCTTCCTTTACACATCATTCTGACTTCACGCAGCAAGGATGAACTGGTCCTGTGTGTGTCGGATTCCCCCGTCAGTAAAATCCAACTCTTGTTATTATCTAAAAACAGTTTGGGTAACCACTTACCCATCGTCATCGTGGAGCAGTTTAACGGCCACATCGCAGCACCACATTTGATGTCTGGCCTTGTAGACTTGTCCGAAACCTCCAGAGCCTTTTACTTCCCAGTCATCCAGATCAGAGTCTCCAATCTCCGCGTGAGTGGGAGAGCTGTGCAGTGCCATATTTCACTAGAATATTATATAAATGAAGACAGCAGGGAAATTTATTTTGTTATTATACAACTGTAGCTTGCCTCCACCAGTGTGTGAACGTGTGTGTGAATGGCATTCAGTGTGGCACTGCTTCATTCAACATGCCTACCCATATACAAATAAGAAGTAGGTAAAATAAATACTTTTCTGGGTTTATTTGGCTTGAAATGCCAAAATTGGTACCCAAAGAGCAGAAGTGTTAGCTAAAGACTTTCACGTCATGGAGTTTGAATGTGTTCCCCTTTGAAAAATGTTTACTTCTGTCAGGTGTTACCTTGTTATGTGGTCATCTGTTCAATTTGCTGCCAGCAGCGTCATAAATACTGATTTTCTTTATTGCTTCAGTCATTGAGGAAGTTGAACCGTATGTTAGGAGGAACTAAAGTGCCTCTGGTAATGTCCATTTTAAAAGGTAAAATTCAGAGAACTAGCTTTTCAACACACACCTCAACATATACACAGGAAACCACACTCTTTGTTTTTCAGGGGCCTTGACACACTACAAAAATTCCAGAAAGTCGGCAAAATAAAAGAAACGTGTCAACAATGCAGAAACACAACAGCCCTGCTGTGAAAGCCACCTCTGTGGACTTTGTTTTAGTGAACACTGTGAAGTATTAGAGACTTTAGTAGCTTCGGTTGTTCCCCTAAACTGCGATTTATACTAATTTAAAGGATGCCTAATGTTGTGTCTTCTTTGAACCAGACTGACACTACATTAAAGTTTGAAACCATTACGAACTCATTGCAAGACACTCACATAAACACTAGTAAGAGAATCTAGTGGATTTTTCAAAACATGGGGAATTACTCACCCTTAGTTATTCGCTCCTCTCTGTCATCATTCAATCATACCGAGTAAGTGTGAAAACCCTTGTGCTTATTCAGTGACTTTCTACTCGCTACTAGAGGCTGGACCTGGTGGAAGCAGAAGCGAAAGTTCAGCTCCGACCAATAAATGTCTTTTTTTTTAACTTCTGCTTCTGTCCTGCTCCTTTTTTATTTTTTTTAACCCTAGTTTTATTTCACAGATTTAAATCTTTAAGTGTTATTTATCACCAAAAAAAGGGAAGAGGAGAAATAATCAGGTGAAAAGTTACAAAGACTTTTTTGTTGCTGTGAGAGTAATAATCATTCTGTAAGATTTTTTTTTTAATTTGGCCAGCAGATGGTGCTCAACTCAGTGTGTCAGTAATGTCAGCTGAGTTATAGTAAATGGGAGGGTTTTACAAAATCACAACACCGCAAGTATGGAGGACTGACAAAACAGGCATCACACGCTTTTGTCTTGGCCTGAGCTTCTTTATGTGGATGAATCAGGGCTAAAACACAAATGAGACAAATAAAGACCAGGAAGTAAAGATAATCCTGAAATTAAAATGAATAAATACCCACCAATAAATACAGATAAAATACATTTAAAAATAAAACAGGTAAGAAAAGATAGCGTCCTGTGTTGATCTTTTTTTTTCCTTAGGGTAATTTCATTAAAGGTTGGTTAAACATTATAGATGCAGGTTAACTAGCCCTAACTTTGTAACATGATCAATTAAAAACACTGGCATTAAAAGCCAAACACGTCATTATGTAATGACAACAGTTTATAGGTTCGCATCAACAGGCTTTGTTTCCAGATGATTAAAATAATGACAACACCGCCCCAGTTCAGACATTCCTGTGTCTTGCTTTTTTATTACAGGTGTGTCTGAACACACACCTGACATGTTGTCATTCGATGCAAGCCTGAAAGCAAGACTGATAATTTGCTCTGCAATCATATGCTAAAGAATCAGGGCGTGTGTGCTGAGCATTCTTGTCCTGTAGAAGAATCAGGGCGTGTGTGCTGAGCATTCTTGTCCTGTAGAGCAGGAACGTCAAACTCAGGTTGAATGAAGGCCATGCTGAATCACAATGACATACAGGGACATAAAGCAAAATTAATCTATAGTGACATGATTTATGTTTAGACCCATTGCCAAAAAAGACTGAAATTTCTATAGCAGATTGTAAAAATAAAAAAAAAACAGTGCCTTTTTCTGTCCTTTAATTGTTTATCTATTAGCTAATTGCTTTGGTGTAGCATGACTGGATTGGAGGATTGGAGTCTTCGTCCAGCCAGTTCTGGCCCACGGGGGTTATGTCTGACAAACCTGATCTAGCAGAAAAAAACAAGCAGACTATTCAGGTTAAAGTTCTAACTGTTAGTTCAGCTACTGTGATCATCTTTGGGTTGCTTTTTCAAACTGACCTTCATAAAGTGTACGATCACGCTGGGTACAGCCAGCCCTTCAAGAAACTAGCTGCACATAAAAGTGTTCAAACAGGCTTTGCTCTTGAAAAACAAAGACTGCCTCAGTGAAAAAGAATCCACTGAATGTTCCTCACTATCAAAAACCATCACCTTGTTTGTCACCTTTCATTTTTTCAAGGCTTTTTGTGTTAGCCAGGTACTGAGCATGCAGGTGTGCAGAAAGAGCTGTTTGCACAGCTGCAAATGTTTATTGGGTCTTATCACCAACGGTGATGAGACAGCTTACAGGGAGGAGGTCAGCACCCTGACCCACTGGTGTCAAGACAGCATCACCTCATCCCCCATCACACTGAACACTGGTGCTCCACAGGGGTGTGTACTGAGCCCTCTCCTATACTCACTCTACACCTACGACTGCACGGCCACTAACAACTCCAACATCATTGTGAAGTTTGCGGACGACACTACAGTGGTGGGTCTTATCACCAATGGTGATGAGACGGCTTACAGGGAGGAGGTCAGCACCCTGACCCACTGGTGTCAAGACAACCATCTCACCCTCAACGTCGCAAAGACAAAGGAGTTGATAGTGGACTTCCGGAGGTGCAGAGAAGTACACACCCCCATCACCATCAACGGCGCTGCTGTGGAGAGAGTGAGCAGCTTCCGGTTCCTTGGCGTACATCTGGCTGAGGATCTTACGTGGTCAGTACACATAAACAAAACAGTGAAGAAGGCGCAGCAGCGCCTCTTCTTTCTCAGGAGACTGAAAAGATTCGGCATGAGCCCCCGCATCCTCAGGACCTTCTATCACTGTGCCATTGAGAGCATCCTCACTGGATGCATCACCACCTGGTATGGCAACAGCACCGCCTACAACTGCAAAGCTCTCCAGCGAGTAGTGCGGTGCGCTGAACGGATAATTGGAGGTGAGCTTCCCTCCCTCCAAGACATCTACAGGAAGCGGTGCCTGAGGAAAGCGGGGAGGATCATCAAGGACTCCAGTCACCCCAGCCATAAACTGTTCAGACTGCTTCCATCAGAAAGGAGGTTCTGCAGCATCCGGTCCTGAACCAGCAGACTGAGAGACAGCTTCTTCCATCAGGCCATCAGACTGCTGAACACTTCATAGACACCTCAGCTTCACTACTGGAACTTCAACATTATGCACTCCATACTGTACAGTAACGCCACTGTTTTGCACATGTCTCAACTCTGTATATTTTTATATATTTTATTTATTGTTTACTCTATTTAATTTGTAAAATATGTGTATACACACACACACACACACACACGTAGAAAAATATTTAGTATACACATCCAGAAATGCATATACTATTATATATTGTACATATATTTATTAGTTTCAGATGTAGCCATTCTTGTATTTTGCTTGTTTACATTATTGTATTTTGCACAACTCTGTTGCTTGTGAAGCTCGCACACAAGAATTTCACTCACATGTGCTGTACCAATGTACCTGCACATGTGATGTGACAATAAAAGTGATTTGATTTTGATTTGATTTGATTTATTGGGGACATGAAGGGGGATGTCTCACCTGAGGAGGGCAACATGAGGTGTCATAGGTGGACAGAAATAAAAATCTAGAATTTTCTGCAAAACCAATGGGTTATAATCTTTAAACTTCAAGTTATTTTCTTAATATTGAGCTTTTTCTCATACGTTTAAGTTCGTGAGTCAGAATTTTCAGATTACAACTCAAGATTTTGGAAACATTTTAATCAGGTCTGCAGGCCTGACAAGGAGGATTTGCACTGCTGTGCTGTGTTTGGCTGGCTATCAAACCTACATAAGAATGACACAACACGTGGTAAATGTTGCAGCACGTCTAAAACAAAAATGATGCTTACCAACATAAACCACTATTCTCTGAACAGACACGATATAACCACTGATAACAAGTGTTTGTCTTCCTCAGTGACGTGTCATGCAGGAGATAAACTAGAGATAAACGCAACATGTGTACATGCACTTCGTGTTGCAGGAAGGCATTGATTTTCATACAGTCATGTAGTTGCATCTGTGGGGTGGAAGCATCTAGTGAGCATGCTCAGTTGTTTCTGATTCTTTATCAAGATGTAAAGAAGAAAAAATGACTTGGAAGGGCAGTTGATTGTTGATGCCCAAGTATCTTCCACAGAAACTGCTTAACACACATCATATGGGGGTTCTAGTGTATACAGAGCTCATTATGTCACACAATGGAGGTTATGGTTGGTGGTAACTCAAAGACGTGTGAAACAGTGATTCTGTGAGGTAAATCATGAGAGCAAGAGAAATGTATGAGGCTGTACAGTAAGCTGTTAGCTGTCACTCAGCAAATAACAGAGGGGTGACAGAATAAAGGGAAAACATAAACCTATGAGAATTTGAGACTAATCAGTGCAGGTAATGTTTTTCAATCTTCTCTCCTCCAGTTTTGAACTGTAGCCTCAGTTTCCTGCTTTTAGCTGACAAGAACGACACCTGTTGCGGTCTTCTGCTGCTGTAGTCTGCTACCAGACTGCTGTGCATCCAAAGATGCTTTTCTGCAAACTTGGTTGTAACGAGATGTTATTTGGGTTACTGTCGGCATCAACAAGGCATTTTTGCACACAGAACTGCCACTCGCTGGATATTTTCCCTTTTTAGGCGGTTCTCTGTAAACACTAGAGATGGTTGTGTGCAAATATACAGTAGATCAGCGGTGTGTGAAATACTCAGACAAGCCTGGCACCAACAACCATGCCATGTTCACTGTCACCCTAAATCCCCTTTCTTCCTCATTCCTCATTCTGATGCTCAGTTTGAACTTCAGCCATTTGTCTCAATATTATCTGCACCTAGCTGCTGCTGAGTGATTGGCCGATCAGACATCTGTGGTAACAAGCGGTTGAACAAGCGTACCTAATGACATGGCATGTGAGTGGTTAAAAAGGGTCTATGAACAACAGCTGTTGAAGTTCTTTGCTTGTTTTTGTTTTTAAATAAATGTCATGGTAGAAAAATGAGTAAAGCTGTCACCTCATCATATTTTCTGCTATTCAGCAGATCTTACTTCCTTTATAAACACAGTTTTCCCAGACTTTAGGATAATAAATGTATACTTTGGTTTTAGGGAAGCTCCTCAGCTCAGCGATATGACCTAAATCAGACTTTACCCACACAGAAAAGCTTTAAAGGGGATGAGCTCATTGTCATTCATTTTGGATTTGTTGACACCGGATGTAGTGTAGGAGGTAGCAGCTCTCTTCCTGTCTTCGAGACAGACAAACTACCCCCCTTTTTTCCACCTCGAACCGTGGACGGAGACTTTTATTAAAAACCTGCAAATTTAAAAACAAATATCTTTTTTTAAATTTGAGCTACTGAAAGAGAAATGCGTTACCAAACAGCCCAGCTTTCCACTTTACAAAGCCTGTCAGTGAGCAAAGTGAAAATTTTTTAGAAAAACTAGAAAAGGAGCGACAGAAAAACCCGTTCTGACGTCAGTGGAAATCCCCTCTATCTCCATTGTGACTCTGACAAAAGTCAACACCTAAATGTATTTTAAAACACATGTTCCGATGCGTGGTTTAATCACACAGTCGTATATTTTTGTCCAGCTTCACGTAAACAAAAGACAAAACCTATGAGCCCTCCTTTATTTGAATCAATAAAGGAGCATACCGTCAATTCTTTCTGTGTCCGGTAATTCTCCCTTGCAGCCGCGCACGGCCTCGGCAGGGTTATTATCATCAGGGTATTACTACAGGTGACCCAGTAAGAGGTAACCACCCGGGCCTCGCTCGCTGGTTTAGTTTCGGTTTTGTGCTCGGGGGTTTTCACCGGTTGGTATGATGTATGATGTATGATGTCCCTGCCCGGCGCTCACTGGCTTCCTCATCCGCCCGTCCCCTGCTGCCGCCGCCGCTGCAGGGACGTGACTGTGAGCTGTGCTTCCGAGCAGTGAGCGTCGAGGAGCATGTGGTAAACTTTGGACCGCTTGCGTAGTTGTTTTTGTTTTACGGTTGCGGAAGACTGAAGGGGAGCTGCCGCCGCTGTTTCTCCTGGAAACGAAACTTTAACGGCGCGGATCGAGCTCACGTAAGAAAACGACACCGACGCGTTACTGTTATCGTTATTATTTGATGCTTTTATATGTTTAGAAAACATTTTTTGTGTGTTCCGCTAAGAGAAGCGAGATCGTTTCCTGGAATTCAGATCTAATAGAAAAGCGTTTCCCAAACACTCAGGCAGGTCCTAATAGAGCCGAATCATCGGGCCATTGTTTACAGGCTGCTGCTGCTAGATTACAGTTTATTTCTATAAATTAGATCTTTGGCTGGGTGGGAGCTGGAGTGGCGGATGGGCCGTTAAAGCGGATGTTTTGTATGGAGCTGGTAATACTATATGAGTCTTGTTTACATGAACTCCGATGATTTCAGGTACAAAGGTGGCGGAGACGTATTTGTAATGCTGTCATTCTGTGCCCCCTGCTTTGAAATGTGGGTAAGCCTGCATTACAGCGGGTGTTCCCCTAGCCGTTTGACTTGTTGCAGATGACTGTGAGTTACTATATGAGTATTTCCACAAAAAAAGGGGAAACGGTTCCCCTCCAGCCAAGACCTGCTGCATTCAAACACTGCCTCGGTATCACAGGGCTCCCATTATTTCCAGCTTCATATTTTAGTTGTTAGACTCTTCTAGAGCGTGTTTGCATCAGTTATACCCGTGTTTATTGATAACAGGCCATTGGAGCTTCCCTCAGTTTAGGATAGCTTTCTTCTCATTGGCTACATCTGGCAAACAGAAGGCTTGAGCAGAAAATATACACGTAAATGTCATTTTGAGTACACTGTAGTTGTTACATTTATTGTAATCTGGCCAAATGACATGTACTTGAATAGTGAGGATATTTTCCTTGATTTCTTATCATGTAAAATAAATGAACTGTTGATTTTATATATTTCACTTGCATTTTATTCAGAATTATTGCATCATGTTTATGAATTGTGTTTTTGAGTCTGCTTGAAATCTACACCCAATAAGCAAGTCATAACGGCAAACCCTAGAAATTAAGTGATTGCAACCGCACAGGTATACATGCTGGTACCTGGTTGTGTCAGTTATTTTGTAGGTTCTATGCAGGCCCGACGCAGGGCTCTATGTTTAGGTTGAAGATAGACCGGGTTGCTAGTGACCTGCATCAGGTTGAGGTAGGGTTAGGTTTTCATAGGTCCTCTTTTTATGGATAAATGAGGAATGAGTATAAACATGGGCAGCTCAGCTTGACAGGTTTGGAGGCAAGGCTGAGATGGTTTGGACACGAGCAGAGGAGGAAAAGAGGAAGACCGCAGAGGACGTTTTGGATAATAGTGATGGAGAACAGGCAGAAAGAGGGAGGCAACCTCTAAAGAGAGCATCTGAAGTAGGAAGAAGAAGAGTTATCCAGCTGATCTAGACCTCAGAAGCCTAACAGTTGAAACCACAAGCTATACTCTGAACTGGGTGAGCCAAGACCCTCAGGTTCCATGTGCAGTTTCAGGCTTGGAATAGGCTGACAACATTTACTAACCAGTAACTATTTTGATGGTAAACTGATTATGTTTAGATTTTGGACTATTGAACTATTTTTAGATATTTCTTTACATCATTTACGGTCGGAAGAGAGAAAAGGTCAGCATGTGACTGAGGTGTCCAAAAGCTGCACTGACTTGAAACTCCTGTCTTTCGCTGATGTCAGGAAAGATTCCCAGCAGAATGAAATAGAGGAAATGACAAGCTTCCCTCAGACGGGAAAATTCGTAACTGGTTTTCAGCAGGAGCTGCTTAAAGATAGTTAAAATCTACTGTGAGACCTGGTTATCTCTCATGCTTTTTTTGGACTATGTGAGTTCACCTTTCTAAAACTGTAAACATCTTTTTACCCATGTTAGAAAAAAGCCAGCTGTAGTTATCCAAAACACCAGACACTCTAATAACTAAGATATTGACTGGCAGCAGTCTTAGTTTATATGTTTTCTTCCTTTAACCTTTTTTAACCCGACGGATACTGAAATGTGTTTTTCGCAGTATGTTCGACCGTCTGTCACCAATTTAAGAAGAAAGGATGGATGACGAGAGAAGCGACGCAGGCGGAGGAGAGGCGGAGTTGGAGGATGAGTTTGCGTGCGCCGGGATGCTGCGGGGGTCTCTGACCTCCCTGCACAGCACGGTGGAGCGGATATTCAGTGTGGCGTTCAGCATCGGGGCGGACGATTTGCCTCACGGCAGCAACGGCCAAATATGGCTGAAACTGCGAGGGCCGAGCGCCAGTGTGAAAGCCGCCAAGGTGAGGCCCTGCTCTTGTTTATAATGCCCTATCAGTCCAGAACAGAGATAAGTTATTAGGCAGTGTGGCTCATAAACACGATGGAAGTTGACTTTGCCAGAGGTTGCTCTCTGCAGTAACCTCTGGCCAAGTCCAGTTTCACTTATCGGTAATTCTGGTAACTGAAACTGGACTCGAGTTCACATTAGTGGTGCTAATTTTTCCTTATCCAGTGTTACTCCATTGATTTTAAGCTTTAGTTTAAAAAGTTGCCACAGCAGTGAAAGAAAACAAGCCAGAATACCATTTATGGGGAGCTTTAGCAGTTAAGTAGTAATCATCAGCTGATAGCTCAAACGCCACTCTGTTACCAGAGTGGGAGGGGCGTGACGGTGGGAGGGGCGAGACAATGACCCATATTTGCTTTATAACCACAACAAACTCACTGTGATGAATTATACACCTTCTATTTAGAGCTGGATCAGGTGACCTTAGTTACGTGTTTCTTTCTATTATTGTATCATCTTTACATTACAATATAAAGTCTTGAGGCCACTGTTGTTGTGATTTGGCTCCATATTAATAAAACTGAACTGAATTAATGTATGTGCTGTGACTTACTTAGAAGTACTGCAAAGAGAGCCAGAGAGACATCAAAATGTTCAAAAAGCACACCTCGCTGCTGCTAATCAAGCAGGAGGGAGGTACGAGATAAAGTGTGCGTCTGAGTAGTCAAATATTTGCGTTCGGTAGCTGGAAATTACTTAAGAGCTGTGAAACTGAAGCGCTTTCATCACCCCTACTCTCATTTCTCGGCAATATCCCTTTTAAGGATTATTTGCCCGTTCATTACTTTGAGCTTCTCATCACGATCTGTCAGATCAGAAGGCCTTTTCTTTCTCTTTTAGTATTTAATCTTTCTTGCATCAACTTTCACAGGAAATCTTTTCTTCTTTATCCGAATCACAGCCTTTATCTCCGGGGCTGCCTAAGCCAGTTTTTGGCTTTTTTTTAACCTAATCACTCAATGTTAATGGAAAATTGTATTTAGTAGTCAGTATAATCTTTTAGTGATATAAGTTTGCATATGGTAGAATACTGCATGTAGTTATTTGTATTAGGAAATATTCAACCATGTATACTTAGAGGCATATAATTAATTGTGTGTGATCTTTAACAGGCTGCAAAGGCTTGGTGTGTATTCCACACTAGCATGCACACCCACATCCTGGGAGCACGAGAAAGATCGTACTTTCTCTTATTGTTTTATGGTAGGATTAACGTAGCTACGTTTGTTTTAGTTAAGTGCTCTTTTGTTTAGATGAACTGCAGGACTTCCTCACTGTGTTATCTAGGGTGAACCATCTAGGGTGAGGGGGAGGCTACCCTCTTCCTGACCAAGGATGTTTGACCCTTTGATCAGCAGTAACACACACACATACACACACATATGTTCAATGGAGTATAAAATAAAGACCAGGGCAGTTCCTCACCGGAGTCTCTCAGTAGGGAGCTGCCCTTGCTAGCAAGAACTCTGTGTGTTTCTCTTCTCTGAGTCTTTACTGAAGAAGTGTTTTAGAATATTTTCCTTAACACTCAAGTAAACAAGTTTCCTGTGCAATCATTCAGATTTTACTATTTTTTCAGTATCGTCGACCGCCCCGCTTTCTCCATTGTGCACCATATCTCTGCATCCTCGTGCAGGGCTAACCCACTTTTGTCATTAATCCAGCTGTAAATTTATTTGGGTTTTTTGTGTCTACAGTCTACTGAGTGTTAAGGGACCATTCCCAGGTAATGACTCATCAAAGTTTTTTAAGTGTTGTTTCACCCGTTAGGTTTCAGTCCACATATTCAAGCGCCTGTTGACACATGCAGTCAGAAAGATTTGTTCACTCATACAAAGACTAGCAGACTGATGCACTGCAAAGTCAGTCGCTGTAGTGTTACAGTAGTAGCTGTAATCACACCATTGTCGGGCATATAGGCAGTTTGAGAAGACATGCAAACCATACGTAGGTGGACTTCCTCTTTGCTAAAGGCCATTTTGGGAGACGCAAATATCAGCTTGACTGAGTGATATGTCAGTGTATTGTGTTTTATTTATTTTTATATTGTTTTACTGTCCTGTTTTAGCTGTGTCTAAAAACAATTCTCCTTCATGTGCAGACCGCAGCTGTGGAGGTTCAAACGAGAATAGTAGGTGTAAAAATGACCAACGGAGGTGGAGATAGAGTCAGTCAGTGGATCTGCTGCAGCTGCTGTCAGCGAGATGATTTTATAAACATAAACTATAATAAACTGCTTATTACCTTTCCTGCTTTCTTTAACGTCCGCAGCTAGATTAGAGCGTGGACGTTGCAGACTTTGAAACTTTAGCACAAATAGGGGAAGGTGGATCTCCTGTGGATGGACTTCAGTGGGGTCAGGGTTCAGTCATTCGTACCCACCGCATCGGTCTCTTTGTGCGCCAACGGTGACATCATCACACAGCCAGAGCCATTTATGCTCGCCACAGCTTTTGCAGCAAAGGCAAATGGTACGAGGTTACAAAAATCTAGAGGTTCATCATCAGCCAAAACGACACTGGAGCGCTGCTTGTGGTTTTGTTGTGAGACGATTAAATCGAACTCTGGTTTGTTTTCCCCCTCGGTGCGATTCGTTTGTGCAGATGTGAACACGGTGATCACAGCAAAACAACTGCACCGAGACCATTTAGAGGAGGTGGTCTTGGCTCGGTCCCAAACAGACTACGAAGCGTGTTTATGGTGAGAACGTCATCTGACCTCAATCTGACTGCATGTTTGAGCTAAACGCCTTCGCGTAGCTAGATATGCTTTACGAAATGTAAAGTGTTTCCCAGATAAACACAAATTTATCCACGTTATCCACTAGGTAGTACACAATACCTAGACACATCCGGCTAGTAAGTGGACTGACCGTTCTCGTGCAGTCAGTCCTTTGGTGTCTCTGAACTTCCACCTTTCTCTCTAAGTGTAGAAAATAATCAAAACCTTAAATATTCCCAGCACGATGCATGGACAGAGCATTCAACTCTGGCTCTTCCCATGGAGCTTCTTTTTCATAATTACTAAAGTTTAACAACACTATTTTGTTTTTTTGTTTATTTTTTTCAGTTATTTGTGAAAGGAGTTGTGAACCAGGAGGAACAGCAGGAGATTAAGTATCCTGGGGTGCTTCACTGTGTCTTCTGCGGAGCCAAAGGCCTGTTCATGGACAGCCTGATCAAAAGCACCTCAGCACATATAGTGGTAAGAGCTCAACAACAGGCCGGTTTCACAGTAATAGTTACTATAGAGAGGCATTTGTTACACCTTTGTTTGTCTACTACATTGGTTCTCTAACCTTTTAATAACTTCATTATTACTGAATAGATTTTTATTAAAGATGCACAAATTGTAGAAATCTGAGCTGATATTGATATTAGAATAACAACAGTTTTTTTTTCTTTTTTTGTATTTATTTCCACTTTTGCCCCAAATAAGCAAAGAAATCCTCCTTATAAACAATACCTGATCTGTTTTAAAGCCTTTCAGTTTGTCATTGCCCAATTTTTAACGGATAGCAACCAATGTGACACAACTGATGTGCATATAATTATGGGTATTAATGTCATGGTCATTTGGGGCATTTAATGATTTCTTTGAAGTGTTCTTTTCCCAGGGTGGGATAAGCACAGCATATATAATCTTTAATAACTTAAAAACAAGAATTGTGTTCACCAGTTTCAATTTGTTATGGATTGTCTCTAGTCATGATATCTAGAACCCATTGGGAGTGTACAGAAGTTCATTTCTGGGTCTCAGAGACTTAAAATGAAAAAAACACGTTAAATTAAAGTAAAAAGGTTTAGAGGGTGTAATACATTAACAAGCTTAGTGTGCCATTATTCACTGATGATGCAACAAAGTGACTAATAGTGTGATATCAAGAGATTACAGTCCTGTTATTCCAATAAGAAATCACATTATTAGTCAATATCAGTTTTACGCCATCAGATGGAAATGTGTCACACGCCTTCCACAAGTTAAAAACTGCCTTCAAAACCAAGACCGTGAAACAGTTTTTGGGAACTTCTGGTCTATTCTTAAGACGACTTATAGAACGTAAAAATGCAACTCTGCATTCTGACAACTTTCTTTTTCAGTATGATTTGTTGCCCGTAAATTTCTTGGAACGTATTTTAATAATCTTACTTAAGAGGAAGAGGAAACTCCAGTAAGAATATTTTGAGGTCCCCATTTTAATGTGTGTAAATGTTTAAATTAAGGCTTAAGGAGTGAGTTTTATGGGTGACTACCTGAGCTAAGTCCATGTCCATGCAGGACCGGAGGAGATGTGGCCCAGTAGTTTTGTCCATATGGTGCACTTTTGCTTTACTATGAGCTTGAGGTCGTCTGGCCATTCTCCTCTGACATCTGGCTTTTCAAACCACTGGCACCATGCACATTCAAAATCACTTGCTTGGTTGATGCTTGGTTTGAACTTGAACGGGTTGTTGCCATGTGACTGGCTGATTAGACATCTGCTTTAATGAACAGTTGAACAAGTGTACCTAACAAAGTGCCCTGTAAGTGTATGTAACTGTACTGGCAGATTTCCACACCTGGAGAAGCCATAGACTGTAATGAAAACATTGCCACCCTGACACCTACCATTGGCCTCTCCCATGGGTTCATAATTCCATGACTTAACTTTACCATTACAGCCGTCACCATCCTGCTTCCTTTTTTTATTTTCTCAGTCTTTCTTAAATAGATTCTGTATTTGAATATGAAGAATTTGTAGGCGAGAATGGTATTTACTCTGTTTGGAGTCTGCTTATAGTTTTGGTTGCACGCAGGTGAATCATCCAGTCTTTCAAGTAGTGATGGTTTATGTTGAAATGCAAATACTGAAATACTCATTGGATACTGTCAGACAATGATTTGTCTTTCTATTAAGTTTTTATTGAATTTTCATTCATTGTATGATATAATGGTCAGTGGATACAAGACCTGAAAATTAACAGTTGGCCCACAATCCATTAAAGGAAACAGCAAAGGCAAAATAAATAAATTAAACATTGATCTGTTTAAGTAGAATTCTTTTATTCTTTTGTTTTGGTCTTTTTTGGTTTAAATGATCTGTTATATTATTATTTTTCAGTCATTGGTAGAACTCAGATTAATGCCTTTCTGTCTTTCTCCTACCAAATCAGGTCGTCTCTCCAGGATTCCTGCTCATATCTGGCCTGGTGGAGCCGGTGGTGCGAGCCTACTCTCTTATTACAGACCTGGTAGAGAGGTATGAGGGCACACAGTCCAAGCGCATGGGGGACGGAGGCTCAGGTGAGTCCCTGGATTCACGACGGGCCTTTAAAACTCTGGTGGAGAAGTGGGAAGACAGGCACATCCTGGATCTTCTTGTGCTGCCAGGATCAGTAAAGGAAATCCTGTTGGACTTGGTGAAAGAAACGGGACTTGGATCAAGCCCTAGTTCATCACTGACTGATGTAAATACAGAGGCAAGGCCACATGGGGATTCAGAGGATAGGTCTAAAATACCCAGTGCCCTAAAGCAAACAGTCCCTGATCCTTCTACCACTACTGAGCGATGGGCTGAAGGGATGGCTGCAGGCACAGGAAATGACTTTGCAAATAAAGACTCCTTCCAGGGTTTTTACATGTCTGCAGGCACCCGAGGGAGGGCAGAGGGTGCTGAAGAAAGACCCGCGCATTCACCACAGGAGGTAGGAGAAGAGCACTTGGGCCAAGCAACAGCATCCGGGAAGGAAAAAGAGCAGGAGTTGCAGCTGTCGATGGGAAACAAGGAGTTTTGGCTTCTTTTGAAATTCTTTACCGCCATGGGATACACAGAGGAGGTTGTGAAACGAGTGCTTGCCAGAACAGGACCTAAAGAGGCATCGCAGATTCTGGACTTAGTTCAACAGGAGCAGGACCGCAGTGACCAAGAGCAGAGGAATCGGGTTCTCCCAAACCCAAAGAGGGAAGACGCTGTCGACCTGAATCAGACAGAGAAAAACCGACCCTGTGAGACAGAACACAGAGAAGATGGGGGAGAAATAGCAGGAGGCGGTGGAGCCATACGTAGCGATGGAGAAACAGAAGAAGGACGAGAGGGGGAAGACGCAACAGGGGATGCAAGACACAATCAGGGAAAAGTCAGTGCAGACGTAATGAATAAAGAGCAAGAGGAAGACTTTGTGCTGGGGGTGTTGAAGAAAGCGGCAGCCAGCTGTGGGTACCCCGAACAGAACGTAACCAAACTGTACAACTTGTTGCCTGATGGATCGACTCACCAGCTGCTCCTGCAGCTGCAGAAAGAGGGAGTCAAAGAGGCAGGAGCCTTCAGAGAAGGACCGAGAGAGATGGATGATGTGGTCTTGGACACTGGCGGGTCAAAACTTCAAATAATACCAGAACTTCAGCCTTATACACCTCCAGAAGAGAGAGAATTCGATGGTCGAGAAAAGATAAGGGTGTCAAGGATTGATAGTAGTGTCCCTATTGAGGGACGAGATATTTGGAATAATAAACCCCAGCAGTCACCGGTGACCTTGTACACCTCACAGCAAAAGCAACACCAGCCTTCAAAGTCACAAACTCCTCACCACATCATCCTACCTGGGGTCAAAGGGCCACCAATGCCTACTTATGCCTCATCCATGGATCCTCAGCTCACCAATTTCCAATCTCATAAGCAACAAGGCAACACCAACTACTTGCCTAATCCATCTCCCACAAAACAGAATCATCATGCTCAGAACAATGGCTCAAAGCACTCCTTTAAGCAAGCCCTTCAAGCTCCTCAGCCTTTATTCCCTGGCACGAAGGACTCGTCTCCCACCAGAGCGATGGACAAACGGGGTTTCGTGTCTACTCCTCCAGTGGTGGTGACAGGAGAGCAGCGATTCTTGGAGAGCCTGCAGATCCCCTTTGAACTCAAGCTGACAGACCAGCCCGGAGACCCAACACTGAGGACGATCATAATTGATGGGAGTAACGTGGCTATGAGGTAAGAATTACAGCAAATAAAGGTCGTACTGGGAAAATGCGGTAAGGTATACAATAGAGTAGAAGATTTATTTTGGTGGGGTGTTTATGAGAAGGGAATATGAGAACAGGAAATATAGATAGTCCTGTTAGGCCAAATGTGAAGGACTTCTTGAGAATTTGAAAACATATTTAGAAATGAGGATCTACTCTTTGTGTCCTTTTGCTCTAAAAGTAAAAGCTTAAAATGAAAGATATAGTTATTATTCCATCTTAGTAGTACATTATGCCACAGTTTATGAATGTGCATGATTAGTTGAGTGCATGTTTACACATTTAAACATGTTATAACAATGGAATTGTGCATTAATAAGATACCCATGCTGCAGTGGGCCTCTGTAAACTTTCCAGGAATGGTGATTGTATTTTCTCATGTAATAGATGGTAAAGGAACACCTGTGGCTGATGTGTAGACTCTGTTTAAAGATTTATAAAGTTGTGATGGCAGTGTGTTCATTAATAATTGTAGTCTGCGATGGGCTTACCTACCCAGCGAGTGGGAGCAGGAAGATAAACTGACCCAGAACTATTGGCGAAGCATGACGTTTACACAGAAACACAAAGCGAAGGGAAGGAACAGAGATCTATGCATGTAGGTGCTAAACAGTTTTTTAAAGGGTTTGATGGGTAAGAGTAGGCACCATCAACAAATGCATATGCTGCAGTCATTTTTACCTCAGAGCTGGGAGTTGCATTGGTCCCGATTTGACCGTGTTACACAGTTACGACCCGGCTCAAAAGCCGCAACAAAAAAGAGAGGAGACGAATACCAGATTGTAGGTGAGAAGAGGTTTTAATCCTAAAATGCATAGCAGGTTGGCTAACATGGCTGGTACCACCAAGGCACGGCTGGTGAGGCTTTTTGAAAGCCTGCCTCAGATATGCTTTTATCAACACCTGACTAGGTGTGGCCAATTACCATCAGCTGAACACACTGAAGAGATTAGGGCTGCAGAGGGACGTAGCAACACATTTTGGTTTCTTCGAACTGGATGGGTAAAGCCTGATGCTCTTCGTATGGCTTATTTGGTGAACCACAAATACACAATAATGGTAATAGCGAGTGCTAGTTTTGCAGTTTCACTACTGTTTTGCTATCCTGGATTGGGAAGTCTGGTTTGGTGGGCCTTCTCTGACTTTTCGAGTGGAAATTCCAACTTGAAGGGTTATTCTGGTGGAAAATATAACTGCAACATATCATCAGAGATACAGATGTCAAACAAAGGGGTGATAAGGTCACAAGGTCCAATACTGCAGGGGATTAGGAACTGTTTCATGATTAGCATAGTGACATGTAGCCTAGTTCCTCTTAGATGTAGTTTTATCTGTTGCTTTTGATTGGACAGCACAATCGTCAAAAGTCAGAGGTTCCAAGAACTGGAAGTCAGCATATTATTCTTCACTGCACTTCAACTTCAATGTTAATGTTTGTTGGAGACGCACATAGTGATAAAAGAGAAAGAAAGTCCAGTGAACTGTGATCATATGAAGCATTATTTGTAACACTTTAATGGCAATCTTCATTTTTCCACAGTCACGGACTGGGTCATTTCTTCTCCTGTCGGGGAATCGCTCTGGCTGTACAGCACTTCTGGGACCGAGGCCATCGTCAAATCAGCGCCCTAATTCCACAGTGGAGGCAAAAGAGCGACCCCAGGGTCAAAGGTAACGCTTTAAAACTTAATGTATTGCTGAAATTGAACTCTTGTCAGTGTCAGGAGAGTGTCATAACGTTATCACATAATGATGTTCTCTTCTCTCACACGTAGCACACAGCAGGAAATGTGAGCAGTTTTTTTATTACTGGAATATACTTGGTTTAAGTTTTGACTTACAGACATGTGAAAAAGAAAGTCTTTCACATGACTGTGTGAATAATTAGGTACACCCAATGAATTGTTGACTTTATCAGTCTCTCATATCATTGTGGAGGAATTTTGGCCCACGTTACAAAATTGCTTCAGTTCGTTGAGGTTCTCAGGCATGAGTTGGTGCGCAGCTCTGTTAAGGTCTATTCACAACATTTCAGTCGGGTTAAAGTCTGGAGTTTTTTCACAGCACCTTGATTTTTTTCTTTTTCAGCTATTTTGTTGTAGATTTGCTGCAAGTGCTTTCTATCTAACATTCACATGCATTCATTCCCTGATGGATGCATCTATCTATGGAGCTTGGGCAACATGCCCAAGGATATTAGCAGATGAGCTGCTCTACCTCCTGGGCTACAGCCAACCCCATGCTGTGCATTATGGTATTATATTAGCATCTACACCAGAAATCTTGTTGTTTTTTCAGATGTAGCCTTTTAAATCTAAGCTGTGCTGTCATGTTCTTTTTAGAGAGATGAGTCTTTCTTCTGGCCACCCTTAGAAAACAAACCATACTTATTTAGTCTTTTTCTAACTGTGCTGTCACGAACTTGCTAACTGAGCCCTGTAGAGTCTGAGATGTAGCCATTGGTTGTTGTTTTTTTTTGTGTGGTTTTTTTTTTTTACAGTTTCTGTGGATAAATTATTATTATTCAAGTCATTACATTTTTGTCATCATAAGTGAATGCCTGGCTAATCTGGCTCAGCTGTAGAGCAGAGGTTTCAGGGGGCAGTGCCAGGAGAGACTAGTATGCGTTTTCGGTGTCCCATTTAACACAGTAGCATCCTCGGGCTGGGAGAGAACCTCACGGGTGGCAGCTGGAGAAGTCAGAAGGACTGAGCGAAAACTGGGCATTATTTGAGAAGACAATTTTGAAAAGTGGAAGTCAACAAGAAAATAAAGAACACAGGCAAAGCCAAGCACTGTGTCCAAGTGTTTGTGTGCTGGGAAAAACCTGCTAGACTATGGAAGCATGAAGGGTGTATTTAATTTTTCAGAGCACTGGTGTAGGTAGGAGAGCTGTGTAAGCCGAGAGCATGCAGCTCTCAGCTTACATGACACCTTCCTGCTTTTACTGCCAGAGTTTACTGGCCAATACTTCCTTCTGTTCTCACATAGTTGCCACAAAGGAGCTGACAGGTTAAAGTCAGATAAATATAAAGCACTGGAAGAGTGACGTGTGTAGACTTTAGGGCCCCAGCTAAGAAAAATCTTGATTTATGATTCATTTCTTGATAATTTTTTTGTTGAAGTAAGAAACTTAGTTTAGTCTGTCAGAGGTAACAAATGTGTTGCATAAGACACCGTGTCTCCGATCACAATCGAACCAGCAACTTTTGCTTGCTAAGCAAATGTGTTAAACTCAGTTAATAAAAACAAAGCTTTACTGTTGATGAAGCTCAATTTAAATGAGTGATTGAAACTGCAGCTTTAGAAAATATTTCACTAAAAGGTTTAATTCCAAAAATTCTACTTCATGGCTATAACTTCCGCTCTATGAGTGTGTAGCTAGCATCTCATTGGGGTCAGGCTGTGACCCCATTGTTGTGCGTGTTTGCTCCTTGCTCCTGCTAACTCTGGATTCTGCAAAAGACTTCAAACGAGAAAACAAGTCATGCTTGGTGAATGCAGACTTCATGTGAGCTTTCAGCATGCGTGTGGGTGTTTCCCCTCATAGCAGACTGCTTCGTAAACAAAGAGTTGTTTGTGTCTGTCTCTCAGAGAAGCACTATCTGACAGAGCTGCAGCAGCTGGGCCTGCTCTCCTACACACCATCCAGAGAGGTCCAAGGCAAGAGGATCAGCTCGTATGATGACAGGTACAAGACACTGAGATATTGTTTTGTTTACACAACCCATCACATTTCATGTGGTTTTGTTGCTGTACACACTCCAGTCTATCTGGATACAGTTCAGATAAGCCAAAAATTGATACCCATGTCTTTGTGTTTATGCAGAATGATACTGCAGCACGCACAGAAGACAGGCGGAGTGATCGTGACCAACGACAACCTGAGGGACCTCTTGGACGAGTCCCCCGTATGGAGGGACATCATTAAAAAGAGGTAGGGCAGTGCTGCGCAGTCAGGGGGACTGAAATTTTGATTTGCACTGAAATGGTTTCACTCACATTTACCAAATGTAATAAAAAATCAGTCTCCGGACGTTTTTGTCCATTTTTATCTAAAAGATCCAAAAAGTTGGGTTGACAGAAAATACTGTCAACACAACCCTACACAATGTTTTTCACTAAATACATTTTTCCTCTGTGATCTGTTGCTGCTCGTCCAGTCTTCTTCAGTACACTTTTGTCGGGGATCACTTCATGGTCCCTGATGACCCTCTTGGAAGAGGAGGGCCTCACCTGGATGACTTCCTGCGTTCAGAGCATAGGTAACAGACCCAAGATATCCGATCTTATCCAATCCTTTGAGAATAATTTCACATGATGCTTCATTTTCCTTCTCAACATCTTTCAGGAGTCCAAATCCAGGAAATCACTCTTTTGCTGGCTCGGCCTCATCTTTCAGTTCCTCCAAACAGCCACGCTCCCAAACAGAGGTCATCAACTTCCGTGACCGAACACTAGGGGGCGCACTGGACGCTTTGGGAGCAGCCGGCAGGGGTAGAGGAAGGGGACAAGGAAAGGGATGGGACATGGGACAGAAGCAGAAGCAGTATGGTGCTACAGGTCATGGCCAGGGGGTCCGGACCGAGAGGAGTCCTGAAGAAACAGCCAGCCTGAGAGAGCAGCTCTGTCAGGTTTTCCCTAATCAGGACAACATGGTGACGCTGGTGCTGCAGTGCCACTCGGCAGAGACGGACATCAACGTGCTGTCTGATCTGATTTTGGAGCAGCAATCAACAAACTAGAAATCTCTCAGTTTTAGTGTTTCACCATAGAGTTTTCTCACAGAGTTGTTATTCATTTTCTCGTGTGACTATAGACTCTATGTAAAAGATGGATTTTAGCAACTGTGACATCATCCATTGGTTTGTGGTTTGTTTGTTTTTTAATCAGAACCAATGAAGGTGAAGTGGATTTAGCTGAGAAAATTAGAATATTGTACACTCAGTTTTGGCCAGTGTTGCCAACTTAGCGACTTTGTCACTATATATAGTGAGTTTTCAGGCCTCCTCAGCATCTTTTTTTCTAAAAAGCGACTAGCGACAAATCTGGCGACTTTTGGTGGTGTTATTAGGAAGACTTAGAACCACTTTTTGACGTGAAAGCACGTATCACTCTTTCTCTCAACAAGCAGCGGATGTCGCCATGGGCACCTCGCCTGTGCCAAAGCGCTCACAGGTGACGGATTGTTGTCACGCAGCAGTTGCAACCCAGCTGCTGTCAGAGCAGGAGATGTTGACCCCCTACGCCTCCAAAACTGCAAATGAATGGCGCATGAGTGACTGACTGTAACACAGTCAGTTCTTCTTTTACTCCAACTTTTTGCAAATCACAAAGTTTAAAGCTACACACACACAAAGTAATTCTGCCAGAGTGCCTATTTCAGGTCACTTTTGCCAGTACCCAGCCCAGACACAGGAGGTGGGTTAGAATTGTGACATAAAAAAACAATAACTGCTAAAAGAAATTTAATTTGTAGTTCTAAATATATTCTAAATTAATTTATTGTGTTTTTTACTCACTTTATGTCTCTTCCACGATATTTCTCTCTCCTACAACATAGGTTACAATTACATAAGCATGACCAATTGTGCAAATTAGGTAATGACATTATTTAGCAACTTTTAGGACAGCGATTTTCCTTACTGAGGAGTTGGCAACACTGGTTTTGGCTTCACATTTCAAATTCGGAGGTTACATCCATCTCCCATATACAGTCTGTATGGATATAGCACAACAGCAACTACAAAGATAGATAGATAGATAGATAGATAGATAGATAGATAGATAGATAGATAGATAGATAGATAGATAAAGCTAAAACTAGACCTGCTCTGTCAACTGAACCAGAAAAATCCCTCAGTGATTGTCAGTTCATTATTTGTGTTTGTTGTTTTGATTTTTCTTCCAGAACTATACAGATGTATTATTCTTCTACATTTATGCATTGCTGTCAGTGTTTATTGTGTATTTTATGTTAGTCTGATTTCTGTCAAAGCACCAGTAAAACTGAAGACATTCCAGTGTAGCTTTAATGCCAAATACTGGCATGCTAACACACCAAACTAATGTGAATATATGGTTAATACATTAGTTAGCATTCTGACGCATTAAATTGACATCCAAAAATTTGGTCAAGACATAAGTTAGGATGCTAAATCACCTAATTGACACACAAACATATGGTTAACGCCTTAGTTAGCTTGCTAATTACCAAACTAACACATTAGCATGAATATATTAGCTAGAATGTTAACATACATAGTTAGCGTTTTAGCATGCAAAAACACCAAATTAACATTTTGGTTCTGACACACCAAATTAATGTAAATATATATAAACATATTGGTTAGCATGCTAATATTGACATTTAGCTTTAGTACAGCTTCCTAGGTTTAAGTTGGTTTTATGGTTGAGCAGAAGTAGCAGGGACTGCCCGTCCACCTGCAGTGAGCGCTGTTGTCAGATGGAGGCAGTGTACAAGGTATGTTACCGCCATTGTGCAGGCTACTTTTGTTTGTCTGTGAGCGAATTTTTTACACACAGAGAGCTGAAGTGAAACCGAGTGTTAAAAACTATGAAAATATTACTGCAGCCACTGTCTGTGCTATTCGTGCTTTATTTTTTTAGTCATTTTTCGAGGTTCTCCGATTCCTGGTGAACTCTTCTATTGCTCCCTTCTCTATTCCAGCCCACTTGTCAACCAGTCAGCATTCTGCAGTTGCAAATATCATCCACTTACAGCAACCTGCAGCCTAGATCTCAAAGGACTGCATGGGAGAGCGTCTTGGGTGGGGGAAAACCCCCCTGTTTGACCAAAAGCTGTACGCAGATGGACACATTTGTGACCATAAAACCAGCCTTAGAGACACTAGCTCAGCAACAGAGTCTTATTTTTATTTTTTTGTATTTTTATAAGACTAATATAGTCATTGCGTAATGACACCTATTAACTATCTTTCTCCGGGTAGTTTTAACTCTGGGAAAACGATTGTGAATCCCATATGGTATCATAACAGAGCCATTTTATAAACAGTTAGTCTGCTTTGGGTAATATAAAATTACATATTTTGTGTATTTTTCTGTTGTTTTTCCTTTAATTTTACAGCCACCGGTTTACTTAGAAAATAGGTTGAAAGATTTCTCAGAGGTACATAGTTGGCACTGAGAATAGATTTTTGGATATACAGTAACTGGTGTAAGAGTGTGTCATGCTGAGAAAGTAAAAACCCAACTTTGCAAAAATCTGCACAATTATATATTTTAACTTATTTTAATTAGGTCTTTTGTTTCGCATAACTTTGGTTATGAGTCTATAATTATATCTTTAAGGTATGTCTGGATGAAGAAATTAAGAGCAAACCAAAACATGGAAAATTCATTCTTCATCCAAATGTCATTGTTAATGTGGGCTACTTCCGTGTGAGTAAATAGCCGTAATCTTATTTGTATTGTTAATATTTATATATTTTATTCTTGTTCTTAATTAAAATATTTTTTAAATGGTGTTTCTATTGTCCTCTGTCAATTTCTGTCCTGTGTCCATCAGGATGTATTGTTCTCCAGCTAAAGCGAGGGAGTATGTAATCAATTGCGTTTGTTTGTCTGTCCGTCTGTTTCTTAGCAGTCTGGTTTTTGAGATATCATTTTTGAAATTTTGTGTGACGGTAGATTGCTAAAAACAGCTGTATATTACCCACAGCTTACTCGATCATCTTCAAGCCTCACAACAATAATCCAGGCCTTGGGAGATGTAAGGCCTAGGAGGGCTAAGCATTTGATCTTAACCTTCATTGTTCGTCCCCAAGATCAAAGCTCACCTTCAAGAAATATATGAAGAAACCGTCCATCCATCTTCGTGCTCTTTATCCAGGGCCGGGTCGCGGGGGCAGTGGCCTAAACAGAGAGGCCCAGACCTCCCTCTCCCCAGCCACCTCCTCCAGCTTGTCCGGGGAACACCCAGGCATTCGTAGGCAAGCCAAGAGATATAATTTCTCCAGCATTTCCTGGGTCTGACCAGGGGCTTCCTCCTGGTGGGACTTGCCCGGAACACCTCACCCAGGAGGCGCCCAGGGGGTATATTTGTCAGTTGCCCGAACCACCTCAGCTGGCTCCTTCCAATGCGAAGAACAGCAGCTCTACTCTGAGCCCCTTTCGGATGGACAAGCTTCTCACCCTATCTCTAAGGGAGAGGCCAGCCACCCTTCGGAGGAAGCTCATTTCCACCGTCACTACCCACAGCTCGTGACCATAGGTGAGGGTAGGGACGTGGCTTGCAAAAGTATTCGGCCCCCTTGAACTTTTCCACATTTTGTCACATTACAGCCACAAACATGAATCAATTTTATTGGAATTCCTCGTTAAAGACCAATACAAAGTGGTGTACACGTGAGAAGTGGAACGAAAATCATACATGATTCCAAACATTTTTTACAAATAAATAACTGAAAAGTGGGGTGTGCGTAATTATTCAACCCCCTGAGTCAATACTTTGTAGAACCACCTTTTGCTGCAAGTCTTTTAGGGTATGTCTCTACCAGCTTTGCACATCTACAGACTGAAATCCTTGCCCATTCTTCTTTGCAAAACAGCTCCAGCTCAGTCAGATTAGATGGACAGCGTTTGCGAACAGCAGTTTTAGATCTTGCCACAGGTTCTCGATTGGCTTTGGATCTGGACTTTGACTGGGCCGTTCTAACACATGGATATGTTTTGTTTTAAACCATTCCATTGTTGCCCTGGCTTTATGTTTGGGGTCGCTGTCCTGCTGGAAGGTGAACCTCCGCCCAGTCTCAAGTCTTTTGCAGACTCCAAGAGGTTTTCTTCCAAGATTGCCCTGTATTTGGCTCCATCCATCTTCCCATCAACTCACCAGCTTTCCTGTCCCTGCTGAAGAGAAGCACCCCCAGAGCATGATGCTGCCACCACCATATTTGACAGTGGGGATGGTGTGTTCAGAGTGATGTGCAGTCTTAGTTTTCTGCCACACATAGCGTTTTGCATTTTGGCCAAAAAGTTCCATTTTGGTCTCATCTGACCAGAGCACCTTCTTCCACATGTTTGCTGTGTCCCCCACATGGCCTGTGGCAAACTGCAAACGGGACTTCTCATGGTTTTCTGTTAACAATGGCTTTCTTCTTGCCACTCTTCCATAAAGGCCAACTTTATGCAGTGCACGACTAGTAGTTGTCCTATGGACAGATTCCCCCACCTGAGCTGTAGATCTCTGCAGCTCGTCCAGAGTCACCATGGGCCTCTTGGCTGCATTTCTGATCAGCGCTCTCCTTGTTCGGCCTGTGAGTTTAGGTGGACGGCCTTGTCTTGGTAGGTTTACAGTTGTGCCATACTCCTTCCATTTCTGAATGATCGCTTGAACAGTGCTCCGTGGGATGTTCAAGGCTTGGGAAATCTTTTTGTAGCCTAAGCCTGCTTTAAATTTGTCAATAACTTTATCCCTGACCTGTCTGGTGTTTTCTTTGGACTTCATGGTGTTGTTGCTCCAAATATTCTCCTAGACAACCTCTGATACCAGCTGTATTTGTACTGATATTAGATTACACACAGGTGCACTCTATTTAGTCATTAGCACTCATCAGGCAATATCTATGGGCAACTGACTGCACTCAGACCAAAGGGGGCTGAATAATTACGCACACCCCACTTTGCAGTTATTTATTTGTAAAAACTGTTTAGAATCATGTATGATTTTCGTTCTACTTCTCACGTGTACACTACTTTGTATTTGTCTTTCACGTGGAATTCCAATGAAATTGATTCATGTTTGTGGCTGTAATGTGACAAAATGTGGGAAAGTTCAAGGGGGCCGAATACTTTTGCAAGCCACTGTAGATCGACCAGTAGAAAAAGCCAATATGAAGAAACCATATTGAGTAATATATCATATGAAAGAGAAGATTTATTTTTTCAATATCTTGCCCTATAATGTCCCATTGGTGCCATAAAAGCTGATGTCATCATATTGTAATAGAAAAATCCTAAAACAAGCACTCTCTTCTTTTTCTTACCTTCTATCATTTTTACACTTACAATTTTGGAACATGGCTAAAAGTTTAAGTGAAACAGGGAACATGTAGTGTGGATGTAATCTCTGTAAACAAGGAGCTCAGGCTTCCGAAGGCTATTGAACTTGTAGGTATATGCACATAACTATCATGATGTGCTACTGACACCTCCTATTTGTGAGGACCAGCCAATGAGAAGAAGGCTGTCTTAAAGGAACAGAGAGCATATCCATACCAAGGCCCAGGAATAAATTGTATGGGAATCATTTTTTAAAAACACAACCTAATTGAGTGTTATTGCTGATCACGTCCATCCCTGTATGACCACAGTGTACTCTCCTCTGATGACTGCTTCCTGTAAAATAACGCACCGTGTCACAAAGTTTAGATAATCTCAAACTTATTTTTGAGCATGAAAATTGCTTCACTGTCCTCAAAAGACCTCCACAGTCACCAGATCTCAGTCCAACTGTGTGATGCTGTCATGTCAGTGTCGAACAAAGTCTCTGACGAATGTTTCCAGCACCTCGTTGAATCTATGCCATGAAGAATTAAAGCAGTTCAAAATGTAGTTTGTTTTTAATAAAGCATTATGCTTCGTATTTTTTGTAATCTAGAGTAAAAGATAGGTCTCATGTTGGATTTGTTCATATTTTTTGAGTACACAAACACATGTTGTAAAACCCAAATAAGGAAAAGCTGTATTTTTTTATCTTTCCCAAATGAATCAGATTTATAGACTTTTATATCAGCAGCCATAAACAACAGGAATAACCCAGAGGGGAATTATTAATTTTGATAACGACGGCTCTGTTTCAGAAATGAGAGGAACACAGCCATGGATAATATTAGTTCCAGCCCTGTTTGAACAAACCAACCATTCATTAAGGTTTAGATTTGCATTATATTTTCCCCTAATCATCATTTTGGAGCCTTGGCACCAGACAGAGAAACATTAAAAGGCATGTGAGAGTAAATTTAAAGGGGCATTATAACTCATTTGCATATGTGGTGTCTTTTCAGTCAGCATCAGTTTGGACATGAGAAGAACATGGGGCTGTATACAGGAAATGCAGTGGGGAAACAAACTTAAAAGCCCTGCGTCTCTGCTTCACGGCAGCTACACAAGTCCACACCTACTGCTTACCTAAATCTACACATAATAGTTTAAATTGTGTCTTTACTTTGTTACTAGCAGCCTGTCACAAAACAGATCATTTGTTCTTTAACTGACGAATGAAGAAGACTTTCAAACTTGATAGAACTGTACAAACTCTGTGTTTGCCCTATTATATACGGTATTCCCAAGTATGTTTGCACATTTTTCAATAAACCTATTTATTTTTATTTTGCTATTTTTACAGCAAAATATAAAGAAATATTGAGGTGATGGGATTTTCGCACAGTACTGCACGTCGCTTTCAGTTTACTCCAACTTGATTCTGTTATCATCCACCTCGTCAGGGCTTCTTTAAACGTAAAAACTTTCATGCCTTTCGATAAAAATAAAAATTCAATTCAATTTTATTTATATAGCACCAAATCACAACAACAGTCGCCTGTTAAAAACATAAAACATAAGATTCAGGTTTACTTTAAGCTGGTGAATCACTTCATTAATCTCTATTTGAAATAAACTAGCAGTTTGCAAGAGTTTCCACCAGAGGTCGCTCTCTGTCACGTTTTGAGACCTGATTCAGCCGCTATCATGTCTGTGCACACCAGGCTTTGATCCTTGCTGCAGTTTCAGGTTCATACCTCTCTGCAGTGACTTTAAACAGATGTTGTGTTTTTATCAGTGTAATTAGCCTACATTAGAACCTGCTCTGCTCTACGTGGAGCTGCAGAGTTACAGGACAAGGTTTCACAAACTTTCTACCCCGAAGCAGCTCGATTTTGGGATGAAGTTCAGACATGTTTTCTCCGGGATAGTTCAAAAGGATAAAGATCTTGGTTTTTGTTTTGTTTTGTTTTTCCAAAGAATCCTGGCCTGTTTATTGTATTGCTTTTTTGGTTTCTTTCCCTTCTGTTGCTTCCTTTTCTGCTATTGTTAGTTTGTTTAGTTGCTCTCTTGCAGATAAGAAAACTAAAAGACTCAACAATGCATATGCTCTCTTTGTTTGTATACAACAAGAGGTAGAGATTATGACTTGCTACTTTTTTTGGACGTGTCATCCACCTGTTGCTGAGAATAGATGCTTTTTAAACTGGTTGGTTGAGTTTGGAACAATAGAGAAAATACACTCACATCTATTTTAGGATCATACTGAGCAACGTGGGGAGCGTTCTCACACAGGCCCTCGGGCATAAAGAGAGAAACTAAAGGTCACTTAATTAACTTGCCTGTCATAAATTATTCAGCAGCGTCTTAGTCACCCCTGCAGGAGCTTAAGGTGGAGACTGTAGGTCTGCTCAGCCTTTGCAAAACCAGTTTAACCCATCTCCCTGCATCCCAGTGACTGACAGGTACAGACAGCGTGAGAAAA